TACCTTTGTTGAGATTTGCAATGTCCTGGCAATTGAATAGTGTAGTCCACCTTGTCAATGACTATAATGCCCCCTACAAAGTATCAAATGATACACTTCCAAAATGCCAGAAACAGGCATCATGCCAGCGTGATGATTACTCACATGTTGAATGGGCAATCGATCATATTGTAGATTTTGTCAAAGAGCTACTTAGGAGAAATTCTTTTATACTAAATGTTGGATCTACTTTTGGTTATTAGAAGATTATTTTTAGGGTGAAGTTTGTATGGAGTCAAGGCTCTAAATAATCAAATTAGAGCCCACTTTCAAATAGTGTTGAGAAATGTGGTTTTAATATTGAAATTTTTTTATTAGCCTTAAAATATATTTTTATATTTAATTGTAAAATTTAAAGCTTAAAAAATAATGTAGATAATGTAGATCTATAAAAACTTTAATGACTTAAGGATTGACGGTCAAAAAATGCGATACAGGATGTACTAATTCCAAAACTTGAAATCCATATTTTTTTTTTTCAAGTCTTTGCATCTTGATGTCGAGATATCAATTTGGGGATATTTGGGCATCAAAACAACATTTTTTAGTGAAATTTTTTGAGAAAGCCTCTTTGATTGTTTAGATCCTATGCTCTATATAAACTTTTCCCTTATTTTTAATATAACAATTTTGGATTCTTGGTTTTTATACATCAATATTTGACCATAAAAAAATTGCAAGATCCCTGCTTAACCTTATTTTTTTTGCCATAAACAAAGTACATTTATTTTAAGGTTGGTATCTTCGGCTGAAGAAGTTACATCTCCACGGTTTATGCTCTTATTTAGGGTCCTAAAAATGCTCTTAGATTTTGTTTTATGGGAGGGCGTGAATAGAAAAAATGCTATTACAATAGTAAAGTCTTTTGATTTCTTTGTTTGTTTATTTCTCATAGAGAGACAGAGGAAATTAATCAACTAAGCTTATTTTGTAGGTATTCTCTCTTTATAATTTGAAGGTTACCTCCTTTTATTAATAAAACTTACTCTTAAACCTTTAAAAAAAAAAAAAAAAACTTCCTCTCTTTATACTTGAAGGAGCATATTTCGCAAGGTCGTCGTTGTATAAGGTAAATAGATGAAGGATTGAAACATCTCATGATTACATACAAATCCATTTATGTTTTTTTTTTTTCGTGGGAATGGTAAGAGTGAATTTCAATTAAAAAGGAGCATAGCTCCAATTTTTTATTTTTTTAAAAAAGAAATAGAGGAATACAAGTGGTACTTCCTACTTCCATAGATGGAGTATGGCTCATACTTGAAATAGACGATCCTGAAAAAAAATAGTGGAAGATGGAACATCCATGGAAGTGGAAGTAGAGATGAAGATGATATATTGACAAATTTATGAGTGGCGAAACCAGTTTTTGAGGTGAGCTCTTAGGTCCACCACATGTAAATGCATCGATCTCCAAAACTTTTCCAATATTGAAGGGAAAGTTTTATACGCGTTACCCACATATAAAATATATTTGTAAGTTCTTCTCAGATATCTGATCTAAATGGATTGTTGGGATAACTTCAGTTATAATGTCATAAGTTAGTTTCAGAGCTTCTGGTCTTGATTGTAAGGTTTTGATAGTATGTTGTATTTGGTTTTTAATTTTTATTTCTAAATTATTTGACATGAAATTTGTGGCGATCTCACTTCTTAGAGGTGGATTTTTTTTCTTCTAATTAACACAATGGCCAAAAATAAAAGCAGTACGTGTGACATAATGACTGAAATTATACAAAATAGTTCATTTAGATTTGACATGTCAATGATATATTTTATATGTGGGTGGCACCAAGTTTTTAGATTAAAAGGTATCGAATATTTGACAATTCACCCATTTTTAACAAGTTTACAACTTTGTGTCTTTTTGATGGGGTTCAAATTTACAAGAAAAAAATGAAAAATGTTAAATAGTCATATCTAAGGTGGATTTCCATAATTTCCTCTCATTTTTTATTAACCTTTTAAATGGATGTGTTTGCAAAATGCATCACTCTTAGCCAAGAGCAGGTATACTATGCTCCCCCAAGAGCGTAGTTTACTTATACTCGCTCGGTGTTAGAAGCCTTTATTGGTTAGACTTTTTTAATCCGAAATTTTGAGAACCATTTAAGGATTATGGGATAATTGCGTTTTTAAACCATTTAGATCTCAACGTCTAAAAATTGGATGGTCCCTATTCAATCCCAAGGTATTATTTTTTTCAAGTGCATGAAGGGCACAATTAGGAAATTTTTTATTAGAGTTAAGGTACATGTTCTAATTAACCCTAGGTGGGGTTTTACCCAAAGGAGTAAATAAACTCCTAAATCCCATAACAAAAATGGGCCATGGAAAACAACCCCGGTTAATCATTTAAGAGTCCAATCGGAGATCAATAAATAACAAGAAATAAGAGGCACTACAAAGCAGTTGAGAGCGTGTTCGTAATTTTCCATCCAATCGAGGGGCACCAAAGTCATTTTCCTGAAATTTTGACCTTCTAATTATTTACGACTTTTTGCCTCACAATGGAAACACTATAAAATCTTTCCTCTTCACTTTGATCGCCTAGAAAAACCAGCGTAGAAGAACAAAAATGATTAAGGCATCGTCAAAACCCTAATTCGTTTAGCATAGGGCAATGATTCATCACCGCCATTAAAGCAGCACTCTCAACAGTTGTAGAGGAGCCGCAAAAAAACTGGAAATTTGAAGCAGAGTATTGGGGTTTTGTGCTGTGCTTTCCTCTGGTTTTTTTACTCCGCTTTCTCATCGCTTTGCGTGTGTAGTAATGGCGGAATTCATGTAATTTGCGGGTTCGAAGATTTTGTTTCAGGCATTGAAGAGTTGCAGAGGTTTTACCAGGTACTTTAACCTTTACAGATTCCTCTTGTTTAGGGAAGGAGCGGTATTTAATGGCGAATTGAATGAGGAGGACTTTCCTTCGATCCGTAGGTGTGATGAAGTCGATGCGATTTCGACCCTAAAATTAGGGTTAATGAGTTCACTTCGGTCGAATCTCGAAATCCTGCTGCAACTTGGAGTATTTGAAATTTGAAAGAACCAAAGTTTTCTGCCTATTTTCACCTGTAAAATCAGCTAAATTTGGCTTATTGACAGGGAATTGAAGGTTGGCGTGTGCTAACAATGGAACTATGGATTGGCCAGAAGATGAAGTCTTCCTGTAAATCTTTCCGGAAAATGAAGTTCCTATTGGAGTTTTGACTGGGAAATGAAGGCTTTATAGGACTTTTCTCCCGGAAAAGTAGATTTTAGCTGGAGAACAAAGTTTTCCAGTTTCAACGTGATCTCTTGACTGATAATTGAGGATTTGTCGTTTTGGATCATCACATACAGGAAAGTCAAGTTCCAGTCCATTTCAAGCTAAATAATTGAGCTTCTCTTTTGCTTTAGAGTGACAGAGTGAAGCTATATGGTTCAGTTTCAGAAGACAAGCTTTTGCATATTTTTATTTTGCGCTGAAATCGGACAAAAGAGAAGAAGAAATAGGAGCTTATGAAATGAGATGCAATGAGAAGAGCAGAAGCCTTTGCAATCAATTGCCGGAGAAAGTGAAGCTTTGATGATTCCGACCATTTCTTGCCAGAAAACCTGAAATTTTCAGTTGGATCTTCCGCGGGAAAATGATTTCCAGGCCAAATTTGAGTCCGCAAAAACAAAACACTCATCATCCACGTTCCATTGCTTTCGTGAACTGAACTTTTTCTGACACCAAAACCCTAAAAAGAGAAGATGGTATCATACTCCATAAGCTCTCAAATCCTAATTTTATACATTCTCATTCTCCTTTTCCCCTATATTTGCGCTCAAATTTCAAGATCGCCGTGTCACCGATTTTGTGGCGGAAAAAAGCTTCCCTTCCCCTTTGGCTTTTCAAGCAATTGTCCAATCCCTTTAAACTGCTCTATCAAGGGTGATATCACCCTCCATGACTTCAAAATCCTCAACATCACCGTTGATGGTATCTTGCTTGAATACCCGGCGATTTGTAACCGGAAAGTCTCAGACCTAAACCGTCTTTTTGGCCCAAATTTCGCCATAAGTTCTCGAAATGGCCTCTTACTCCAAGACTGTAAAAAATCAGTCTCGGATTGCCTCATCTCAAGCTCCTTACTACACGACAGATTCAATATATCACAATGTAGGGTTTCAGGGAATATTAGTTGCTTCTCTGCTAATGATCATGGATACTTAAAATGGAAGGAAATTAATGGAAGCGGGTGTGGTTCTTTGCTATCATCTTTTGCTTTAGACCAAAGTAGAAGCCCCAAGATTTCTCTGGATTTTGAGGTGCTTGAGCTTTCATGGTGGATGACAGGAAATTGCGACAATACGTCTTGTTCAGAGGAATCGAACTGCTCGGAATTTGAGATTCCAGTCACCGGAAGACATGGTTTCCGGTGTAGTTGCAGACATGGGTTTCATGGCGATGGGTTCAAAAGGGGAGATGGGTGTCATAAAGGTAGGAACTTTGATTGATTTTTGCATTGGTATGGAACTATTGTCTTTCTTTTTTGTTTTCTTAGTTCATTTTGCGTGAGAAATTTGGCCGGAAGCTGGTCGGAAATTTGGCCTGAATTTTGGTGCTTACTTCCTCCTAATTTTCAGTCACTTTGAAAGTTGGAACCCAAAAGTCATTTGGACCTAATTTCCACCGAATTTGGCCTTAACGTTTGAATTATTTCTTTATTTCAGTGTCTCTCCCATTTCGGGAGGGTAAGATTAAATTGACCAAATTTAAGTCGGGAATTTCTCTAATTGATGGTTTTTTTTTTTTGTCATCTTTAATTTGCTATTTTCCCTGAATTTTGCGGTTGGTTTTTATACGGCCGAAACCTAGACTGAAATATCAGAATTTGTTCTTATTTTTCCAGTTCCAATTTTTTCCATGGCTCTCTCGTCCCCAGAAAACGGTGGAAAATACTTTTATATTGAAAAGAAAATCGAATAAATAGTAATAATTTCAGGAAAAATATTTTTCTAATTAAAAAGGTAAGTATTTATTTCCCTATTTCTGTCTTCTTTCATCTGGTCTATTTTGTCTAATTCAAAGGAATTTTTAAAATAAACAATTGGGTCGTCCTTTCTCTAGTCTCCAAAAGGGACAGAAATTCCGGAATTTGGATTATTATTTTCCCATTGACCGCCTACCCTCAAGGTACGCCGCTAATTTTGGATAGAATCGTGAGGTACTCTAAACTTTTGCTTTAATGACAAAACAAACCTGGCTTGTGATAGTGACTTTTTTAATGGCTTGAAATAATAATGGTGTTGGGGCATAATGCTCCACCACTTGTAAATGTGGAGAGAAAATAGCAGGCCAGAATTATTGGGTTCTTTTTTCTCTTTTTGGATTCTTGAGCATCATGTTTTCTAAGTCACATTTCTACTAAAACTGCTCAATATCATACATTGGGCCCAATTTGTTCTGACTTTGTTTTTGTTTTTTTGTTTTGGTGTAAATTTTGATTGACTAAAACAATGTAAAAGACTGTTTAGTATGGAGAAAATTTTCTTCTTCATACTGGGAAATTATGCTAATTGTTAAAAATATATTCCAGAAAAATAAATTCCATGTTTTAAGAGAATTTGGTATGAATTCTCTCAAAAAAAATGGAATTTTTGTATGTAAGTGACAATTTAATCTTCTCAATGGCTGGAAGCCACAAACTTCTCAATTTTTTAGAGACTTCTGATTACAGTAAGAAAACTATCTACTATGTTAGCAATTGTGAGTCTATTTTACAATAATCTAGAAATGCAGAGAATGCACCTAGCCGAATAACATGACTCATTTATAGCATTTTATTGGTCTTTGGAAGAGCTCTAGTAATTTTTGTATTTTCTTATGAAGCAGCATGTTTTATATTTATGATATTGTGAGATACATGGTGTCTTATATGGTAAGTTGTGCAGTTTATGATGCTTGGTGTTGGAAGGTGCACTTTTGAAAGCTAATGTGACACTTTAAGAAAGTTTATCAATCCTGTCATTTGGGGAATTATTTGTGAGATTATTATCACATGCTCACAAGGTTCATCACTTATCAGGAATTCATCTATAGATCCTGAATGGTTTGATAAATGACAAAGTTTTGTTTTTCGGTAATGCTTATTTACCTCTTATTTTTATTATGTTTGTTCATTTCTTCTCTGAATGCAGATTCTTTTAAGTGCAATCCGTCTAATTACATAAAGGGACGGTGTGGTGGTACTACCAGAGTTGTTGTCCTAATCGGAGGTAAATCAAAAGCTGGACAATTTTCTTATTCCTTAGAAGTTGATATTGTTCATATTAGAGGAAGATACTCCTTAATGGTCTAACATTTCTATTCCTGATCTTGGAAACGTAATATACTGTATTATAAGAATGAGCTTAGGCGAGATAATTGTTCTCCACATTCAGAAAACATAATAATAAGGCCCATATAGAGTTCTTATCCAAAAGAATATGTTTATGCATATGCAGATTTAATTATCATGTTCAAATGGGGTGTCTTGGATTTTATGCATGATGTATGAATGGATAATGTTTAATGACCAAGTGGGAGCAGATCCTCTTACAGAAGTCAATGGGAAGAACACGACTGCCTCCTCAATTTAGAGGAGAAAATGACTACTACTTTGCTATTACTGTACCTCTCTGGAACGGGCCACATGTCCATTCTACGATATTTAGATCACACTGCCTTCTGTTTTGTATGAGGAAAGTGCTTCTAAAAGGTAGCCAGAGTGTGTAGCCACACAAAAAAAGTGAGCCATTTGAGGTGCACTTTTGTGATCAAACAAATACATATGAGCAGTCTGCTTTTCAAAATTTATTTCATCAACTGCCTCTTTGTATAAAGTTGACCATGGGCTTCATGGGAAGCATATTCTCATCCAGTGTATTATTGAAAACCATCCTTATCACTATCCGTTGGCTGAGCCCAAATACTTGGAATAAGGCTCGAATGATGATGATGATGATCCTTATTACTATCCATTGAGATGATAGATGGTGATGCAAAGGGAGTGGCACCCACCAAAACAGGACATGAACACGATCGCAGTCTAATCTGTCTGTGATTATCCATCATTTCAAATAGACGGTGATGACTTCCTCACCAATCGAAATTAGCCGTTTGTTTGAGGAAAATTTCTTCCATTAACAGATTCAGCTATGGAAAATGCAAGCCCCGTCTTAACAATGGGAACAAGGCCTCCTAGAAATTTTTCTTTTTTCATACTTGGGAACCAAAATCCTACTTTTAGATTTCAAAACAATCTCACCAAAAGTTTTTTTCTCTTGATTCTAATCTTTTCGGTTATCAATCTGAAGTTCTTCTCATTTGCCATTGTTCCCCTCATACAGGTCTTCTTGCCGGAGCTTCTATAATGGCTGGACTGGCTGTCCTCTTCTATTGCCTGAGACGCCAACCCACTTGCTTCCGCACTCGAAAGAGCAACAAACACTTGATCTCAGCGGCTGCTCACTCCTTCACGGTCCCTTTATACCCTTACCGAGAAGTCGAAAGAGCCACCAAAGGCTTCTCTGAAAAACAAAGGCTTGGAACTGGAGCCTATGGCACTGTTTATGCTGGAAAATTACATAATGACGAATGGGTAGCTGTAAAAAAGATTCGACACAAAGACACTGAAGGTATTGAACAGGTAATGAATGAAATCAAGCTTCTCTCTTCAGTGAGCCACCCCAATTTGGTGCGCCTCTTGGGATGTTGCATAGAGAGAGATGAACAAATTCTTGTGTATGAATACATGCCCAATGGTACAGTAGCACAACATTTACAAAGAGAGAGGGGTCAAGGCCTATCATGGAATGTGCGCTTAGCCATAGCCTCTGAAACTGCACATGCTATTGCTCACCTTCACTCAGCGATCAACCCCCCCATATACCATAGAGACATAAAGTCCAGTAACATACTCTTGGACTACAATTTCAACTCCAAAGTTGCTGATTTTGGCTTATCAAGGCTCGTTTTAAGTGAGTCTTCTCATATATCGACTGCCCCTCAAGGCACCCCTGGCTACTTAGACCCGCAATACCACCAAAACTTTCATTTATCAGATAAGAGTGATGTTTATAGTTTTGGGGTGGTCTTGGTTGAGATCATAACAGCCCTCAAGGTGGTGGATTTCAATAGAAGCCAAAGCGAGGTGAATTTGGCTGCATTGGCGATTGATAAGATAGGGAAGGGCCTTGTTGATGAGATTATAGACCCTTTTCTTGAGCCCCATAGTGATGCGTGGACTCTATCGAGTGTGCACAAGGTGGCTGAATTGGCCTTCAGGTGTTTGGCTTTTCACAGAGATGTTAGGCCTTCGATGATGGAGGTTTCCACTGAGCTTGATCAAATAAGAATGAGTGGATGGGCTCACATGGAGGTGGGGGGTGTCAGTTTTGCGGGTGTGTGCACCTCCCCATCTGTTCGTTCCATTGATAGTGAGAGATCGCATAAAGGTGCAAGTAAGAGAGACGACGGTGGTGGGGGTGGTGGTGGTGGTGGGGGTGGTGGTGGGGTGGTGGTTTCTTCTTCATTGGAGGATTTGAAGGGGGGTTCTCCTGTGTCTGTGCAGGATCCTTGGTTCAGTGAGCAAAGTTCTCCTTCGACAAATAGCCTGTTGGGTAACGTGGTTCAGTGAAAGTTGTTATATGTTCTTGTACTTCTTGTTTATAACCGAAAGAAAATGAAATTAAGTAAAGTTATGTAATATTCAACTTGGAGTTCCTTTGATTGGTGGGTTTGTTTTAGCTTTCATGTGCTGCTCGGTAACTATGACTACAGGGCCTGAATCACCGTGTGTTTCAATACTGAGTTGATAAAATATTTTGACCGCCATGAGTTCCCTCTGACATTTCTGGATTCTAGTTTACCATTTGGCTGGTGGGATCGCGAGAATGCCTGTTGATCAGTGATTCTGTTCGCTGACTGGTTTTGCTGTTTGTAGTTAAGCTCTACGTCTCTCCCTCCTCCCCCAACGCACAATTTTTCTTGCAGCCCAACGCGGCCTAGATCTGCATATGGCGTTAGTCCTTACGCACAATCCAACTCATAGTTATCATGACCTATCAAGACCATGTCGGACCGTGGCATTAGTCCTTACGCACAATCCAACTCATAGTTATCAAGACCGTGGCGGACCGCAGACCGATGTCTTAATTGGTCTCGATTAAAGTATAAATTAAGCTTGTTAAAAATCGGTCAAAATTAGTGTTTGGCTGGTTTTCGCTTGTTCAATCAGTTGGTTTAAACCGGTTCGATCTCATAAGTCAAGGATAACATAGCTGCTGGAATACTACTATGTACGAGAGTCAACCATCCGGTCAAACAAAGAGCGACTTTTTTCTAATACATTTTATATTTTTTAGGGAAATTTGTACATAAATTGTGCTTTATTTTAGATAGTCAAGAATAGTGTAATGTATTTCATATTTTACAATCAAAGTTTTATTTTTTTTTAAAATATTTTTATTAATAAGATTCAACTAGAATTTGGTATGTTTATTCTTTTTACAATTATACACCTATATAAAATATTTTAAAAATTATTTAAAATAAAAATTATCAAATTGCCCCCTTTTTTTTTTTATTCTTGGGTGGTTTGCTAAATTTATTTATTTGAAATTATTTGAAATTTATATTTTATAGGTTTATAATGGTGAAAAGTATGTAAATATCAAATTTGAGAGACAAAAAGATATAAAATTAAAATATAATTATATTCTAAAATGAGATTTTATTATAAAATATAAAATATAAAATATATAGGTCTCCACCCACGAGTGTAGGACCCCAAATAATCATCATTAAATTTGACACAAATTTATAGAAAAGTCAAGTCTTACACCCATATGATAATGTTTTAGAAAGCCGACAGTTGGTTGATTTTGACTGTATTAGATACCTAACCGATTGAGGAGCTGGTCCGACCGGTTGGATGATCTCTCAGTTTCTTAAACCCTGGACGGATTAATTCTGGTGAACTCTAGAGGGTTAGTAGTTTGTGTGCCATTTGTTTTCTGGTTAAATGTAAATATTTATAGCCGTATGTAAATATGTTGGTAGAGAAGCAGGGCAGAAAGGCCACCTAGGACTAACAATTTTGACAGAGTAAAAGGGCCACGTAGGGTTCGGGCTGGGATAATGTCAATTTACCCGTGAAGTACAAGTCCAAAGATTATATGCCGGGACTAACGTGTATGGTCCAGTCAAGTAAAAATCTTCTATCCACGATTATTTTTAGGACCACATGTTTTGAGCAATGTTTTAAATATCGGCAATGTTTGAATTGGATAGCTAAAATGGAAATCCGTTTGGACTGAACCAGGTGGATGAGAGAGAAGGAGAGAGAAATGGGGGAACGAGAGATGCAGGTGATGAATAAATTTGTTTTTTTAACCTTTTATAATGAAAGATTTGAATACCCTTTTATTGTAAGGTTTGCATCTGTTATGTAAGGGTATTAAAGGTAAAACTAATATTCACAAATGGTTTTAATGTTAATTTTTGTTATTTTAATGTTAACTCTTTTATTGATCAATTTATTTCTCATGAAATATTTATTTGATATTTTTATTGGATTTTTTAATTTTTAAATAACACACCCAAAATTTTAAGTGATTTAAATTTATATAAAAAAATTAAAATTCCAATACGAAATGCAATCATGATAATTAGATCGGGCCAGATTCAATATGGTTCATTGGGCTCATATGTAGCTGTAGATCCACTGGCCAATGCTAGTATTTCTCTCTCTCTCTCTCTCTATATATATATTATTTTTTATTTTCTTCTTTTTTAAACTTATCTAATATTTTTTCTAAGGCACCCTCTAAATCCCAACCCTATAGGTCTTTATTTTATTTATTTATTAATATTTTCTTGATCTCTGATTTGGATTGATCCGGATCTAATAAGGATGGCTGATTCAATGATCCGATACGGATTTATAGCTAAACGATCCGCCTTTCTGATCCGGATTTGAAAGTACTAACTTGGAAATATATACTAACATCAGATGGAAAATTAAAATTTTAAATATTTGCTTGGTGCAACACAATAAGTCAAGGGATGCCTAAGATTTTGCTCAAAACTATTTTGTAAAAAATAAAATAAATTCAAAGACGTTTTGATGTGACATCGTGATATGAGCTATCTTACTCATCCATTTAGATGGAAAAACTAGAAATGGGGTCACATATTCTTTATATTTGGGTATGTTACTCAAAAACCCTTCCAAACACCTCGAAATCCATTGGCGTACCATAAATGTCTTCAAACATTATAAATGCTCCAAATCCAATTGATTTAGTATATATTGAGATGGACGATCCATATCAGAAGTTGATAGTACTGCAGTATTGGAGACAACGAATTACACTCTTTGAAAGTCATAAACAATTGAGGTGAAGGCCAAAAGATATTCTACTACCTTGGCAGTATATTATCTATTTACTGCCTCAGATCAAATTTCAGCTAGGATTAATTTTAATACCCCAAAGTTTAAATATACTACCACTTTAATACATAGATTAACCTCACAAAGTTTTCTTTTTCTAATTGCATCGTCTAGTCAGTTGAAAAGAATAATGCTTCAAGGGCCTTGTACATGGATTGCAGGCTAGGCATGTTGCGGCTTACTTGTCCATGAGAACCAAAGCTGGAATGACAGCCATCTTGTGGCTCCATTTTTTTGTTGGAGCGCAACAATGGTGAATTGTAATAATGATTGTCTAAGTGCAATCTTAAGTCAAGCAAACGACGTGAAATCCATATTAATGATGCTCTTTAATATAACCATAGAAGGACCCCTAAGAAGGTGGTTATTCACTATTTAATTAAGGAAAAAAGTTCATATAAGGCTGAGGCCTTAAACAATCAAATTAAGGTACACCTCAAAAATTTCTTCAGAAGAGGTTGTTTAGATGCCCCAAAATCCTCAAATTGATTATCTCAACCTTAAAATATATGGACATGAGAAAAAATGGATTTCAAGTCTTGAAAGTAGTGCATCTTGTAATGCATTTTTGGATCTGTCAATTTTCAAGATTTTCGAGTGCTCATAGATTTGCTCGATCTACACTATTTTGGAAGCTTTAAATTTTATAATTAGAGATGAAAATAAATTTTCAGGACACTACAAAGATTTTCAGCATTGAAACAACACCTTTCGACACTATATGAATGTGCGTCTTACTTTGAGTGTTTAGGGCCTCGGCCTTATACAATCTACACCACTTAATTAAGGGTGAAAAGCTTTCGTGTAAATTGTTAATGCGGTTTACACTCGAGGTACTTTTGAAGACCTAACAGCTACTTATGAAAAGCCCAATAAGTCATCTTTTTTGAACCCCGGCATGGGACTAATTAAGGGTGAAACGTTGATTTCGTGTAAATTTTTAATGCGGTTTACACTCGAGGTACTTTTGAAGACCTAACTACTACTTAAAAAAAGCCCAATAAGTCATCTTTTTTGAACCCGGCATGGGACAATGCCAACCATAGCACTGGCATCATCTTGATGACGTAGATGACCACACTCGTGAGTTCAAGGGATTTAGTATGGCAAAAGTTATGTGCGATGCATGCCAATGGAAATATGCAGGACTTCCTTGGTCACAAGCTTTATACAATACTTGTGAGGCATAAAGAATTGCCTCCAAATGGGTCAATTGCAGGGTTTTGTTGAAATAATGGAATAAAAATCGCAGATTTTCAATTTCAGTTTCAAAACCCCCCAAAACTTTGGATTTTCGATTTCTTATATATTGGTTTTTGATTAAAAATGATTGTATAGGTAATAAATAGGTGATAAAAACTACAAATTTTGATACTAATTTCATGATCTTTGGTGAAGAAATAAGGGAAAAAGATTGAAAATGGTAGATTGGGTTTTTATGTATAAAGAAATGAACTAATTTTTTAATTGACAAGATTGGGAACCTGGACTGTTGGATATGGTAATTATCCAAAATCACCCATATAAAGAAATCTCATATTATGTGGGATTGAGATTGATATGGATAAATTTCTTAAATCAAATGGAAATCCAAAAAAATAGGACTCGTGGTTATATCTCGTGGTTTTGAGATATAGGTAACATCTATAAGAAGTTTCATATTTGATGTGGATTTCTAACCTTGTATATATAGGACGAAAGTGCACAAAACTTGTGTGCCCAATTTGGATCACCATATAGGAAATGTGGCTTCCTCAAATCAGCAAAGCCTACCTTATAGAGAAAAGAGCTCTCTATGGAGAGAAACATCACGATTGCACCTCCTGTAGATTGACATGTTGGTTTCTTGTAGAGAAATGATTCCCGTGAAGATTTTAGGTAGTTTCCCTTTTTAGTGAGAGAAACTCTTGGTTGTTCTTAAGGTTCTCCTCCTGGAAAATGGTTTAGCTATAGAATGGAGATGGTCTCTTCTTGGACAGTGGTTAAGCTGTGGAATAGAGATGAGAGGTCGACGATGGTGACGATCAGGAGTGGGTCTAAGAGGGTTTACTTGACTGGGTTTTGTCGATGGTTATAAAGGTAACTCTCTGTCCCAAAATTTTTAATGTAACTTTCATTATTGAGATAAATCTATGTCCTAAAATTTGTAATATAACTTTTAATAGTATAATGGATTTCAGTTTACCATGTTCGTGGATGTAGTCCACTTGAGGTGAACTACGTAAATCTTTGTGTTCGTGTTTCATTCTTTATTTTTTGTATTATGGCTCGTGCTATCTCCTATTTTGTTTCTAGCTAGATAAGTACACGATATTGGTGGGATCCAACTTTTGGGATTCCTATTTCTACATCTAAGAGGATTCTTAAATCCTAACATG